ATAGTCAATTTCAGAGACAACAATAATTTTAGCCAGACAGTTTTTTCGTATTTTTTCCAGCATATATGATTGTTGCCCCTTAGCTTGTAAGTAGATGAAGAGAAATAGCGAGAAATACTTCAAAAAAACTTGTCTTCTACCCCCGGTCTTAGAAACACCTGGCTTCACTTTTTTGCGGTCCAACTTAGCGAGGCAGGATAATGGAAGTTTACAGACACCGACCACTGCCGCAACGCTTTTATTATCTTATCTGAGCAATAAGATATATTTCTAATCAGCATGTCAATAATTGTCACTAGACCACTTCTAAATCTGTGATCCGAATTCGCTACCGTATATCTACGTCCAGAAGAAGACTCTCCATAAGACAAATATTTAAAGTCATGTCAGGCGACACCTGTGAGGAATTAAGCTAAACTAAGAAATTCCGGGGATCATTTGTATGACAGTTTTAACAAACTAACCGTTGTGACAGCATTGAACAACCTATCGTGATCCACAGAAGATTTGATGTCGTAATTGTAAAAGAAATTAGGGTTGCTGCCGTTTTTTCTGCATGTCTTCTCAATCTAAAATTTTTACTGCAGTAACTCTTATTTAACCAAGGATCACGAAACCATCAACCTTCTCCACGGCGTAGAAAAACTCGTCTTGGTGAATAATCTTCACTGAAGCCTCTTCCTCTTCAAACTAAAAATTTAGTTTATACAATAAAACAGAAATTTCCGTGGAAAATTCTCACCACTTCTGCTAGGACTTTCGCGATAGATGTTTTCCCCGAATTAGTGCATCCTGCAATTGCCAGCACTCTTCCGGAATACGGACATTTGATTGCGAGATGACTCTCTCCATTTCTTTGCAACACGCCATCTACAAATGACATCCCAAGTTTAGTCCGAAAGGAGACCTACTGTAAAAGATATTGTGATAGATGCTGATTTGCAGACTCCAAACAAGCGATTAATAACAAAAGGGCACAGTTATAGAATGGCGTCCTCTGAAACAATGTTGCAGAAAATTTATCTCAAATGCGAAAAGTGCTATAAGACTATAAAATGCTCTAAATACAATCCCATTCGAGTATTGGCTGATAAAAACGAAAATACTATAATGTATCGACTTGACTGCAGTGATGATCCATGTTATTTTGTGATTGCGGCGTTCATTGCTTCTTCATCCAAAGCAAAAAGGACTAGCTGTGTCAATCAAATGAAGGACTGAGGAGTCACGGTTATGCTAGTTTGCTCATATCTACGCAATCAAATATTCTACTGTTGCACGCAAACACACTTAATAGTCGAATTGTGAAAGTTCAACTGAAAAGCATAAACAATACAGCGGGTTGATAATGAGATTAGTCATCACAAGGGAAGGATACTAAGTCGAAGTGGTCATTCAAAAAACAGTTTGTTTTTGTAAATACGGCTCAAAACTGATCCAAATCTTTTCCTGCCTCATATTTCTGGAGAAGAAGTTATGTTCTTCCCTGTGTCAAAGATGGCTACAGGATATATGAAAGCTCAGACTTTTAACCTTGGACCCAAACAGTAACATCTCATTAACAAAATTTTGTGTTGTTGTTTCAGGTTTAATCTCATTTACAAGCAGTAATTGACAGGTTGTATTGCTATTTTTGGAAACGTCCTCCTGAATACAAATCTAGTTCAGCTTAATTAGGAAGTGTTGTTACTTGTGGAGCACCTCTCT